GGTCATGGCTAGGAGCCAGGACACCTGGACTCTATTCCTAATCTGGACTGGCAGGAGGAGGGGTGGGGTGGAAGAGGGCTCTAGGTGCAGTGCAACCTGGGAATCTGGAGAGCTATGAATTGTTAATTTTATCTCTGTGGATTAAACTGAAATTTAGGCTAACAAGCTAGGTTATGCTGACCAAAATTAACCCTCGCCTGAACTGACATAACTTTGAGCTGCTCAGAAGGCACCTAGCATGGGTTAATAAGCTTCAACGTATGGACACTTGCCTTTCAAGCACCCTTAGTACAAATTAAGTGTAATGTGTAACTTCACCCTGTTGAGTAAAACCATCAATATGAGTGAGGCAAATGTGATCTCCCTGGATATATCAGGTATGGTAAGGGATTATTAATACCTTTGCTCAAGGTATTATTGGTAGGATCTTATCTAGATACTATTGACAATTCTGGTGACCCCTATTCAAGAGCGATGACTTCCTGCTGGAACAGGTTAAGAAAATAGCTATTAGGATGACAGCTGAATAGGATAGCATAGTTCCATTTTTAAGAGAAAACTAAAAAAGCATAGTTTGTTTGCCTTCACAAAAAATGGGTGACAAGGGACACAACTGCTCTTCAAATACATGGCAGATAAAAAAAAAAAAGTAGGCATGGAAAAAACTATTTAAGCTCAGGATAATCTTTGAAAAAAGAACAAATGGGTTTTAAGCTGATCATGAATACATTTATGATGGAAATTAGAAGAAAGCTGCTAAGCATCAAAGCAGTAAGGTCCTGGAACAGCATACAGAGATGAATATAAAGTAGTGGAGGCAAACAGTTTATGCAGTATTACAATGAAGTGTGATCAGTTTCTGAGGGGGATTATGAAATATGTTTCTTGGAGCCAGCATGGGACTAGATTTCATGATCCAAAAGGTCTCTTCCAGTCCTGTGTTCCAAAGTGTAAATGTCTATTTGGGCCTCAGGCATAACATGTTCAACATGCTGAATAATGATTTGAAGAATGGCTACTGCCAAGCTACATTAAACAATATATATGTGCATTCACCTCCAGGAAGGCTGAAGGGCATAAGATATATTGTTTAAATTGTTTCTCCCCACACTAATCTTTTGAGATCCAGATCAGATGTGACAACTCAAAAATTAGTAGGAACTGATTTGGGGATGCAACTGGGTACAAGTGTGGAAACTAGTCAAAACTACCAGCAATGGATTAATCTCAACAAACACCAATAATGCTAGCACTACTAAAAACTAATACTAAATTGGTTAAAAAAACAATCCTAGATTTCAGGTACTGAAAGAAGTCCCTTATACACACAGCTAGCCCCAAGAAAAGGAAACACTGAGTTAGTGTGGACTACACAGTCCTTTATCACATCAAAGAATACCTTAAATTAGCTTTCAGTATGCACTCATACACTGTAACAAAAGCTTGTCCCAGGGGTGGCCATGACACCTCTGGCGCATGTTTAGATAAGCATACAAGTCTGTGTCTCCAGGAACAAATAGTAGTGACACATAGTTGTGACACAGCTACTTGTTCCTGGGGAGTGCACCTGCACGCTTCCCTGGGGCCCTGGGGAAATAAAGTTTTTGGAAGAGGCAGTGATCTGGGTGTGCAGAGCCTGGCCAGTAGCCAAGGTGTGGCTCTCACCAGTCAAGCTCTGGTTTCAGGTGGTGCATACTGAAGCCACATGCACTGCCCCTATTTGTTTTTGGAGCTTCCCCTCCAGTATCTAGTGTTGGCTCTGCGCTGTAAATATGAAGCGCGGAGAATCGTATGACATGCGCTGCATGCGTTTTACAGCAACTCCAAAGCCTCTGAGGTGCCACAAACCATATGTGTGCACTTGTCTGGACATGCCCCTAGTAGCTACTCAGCCTTTGCTTTACCCTGATCCTCCCATTCTGTTCACCTGCCATGCCTTGATGTACTTCTACCTTTAAGAAAAGGGAGGCTGCCCCAGGGATTCCTGAGCAAGCTCTCATCCATTCCTGTCCTACTCCCAGGTCTGAGTCTGTTCTGGTTCTGTCCCTGAGCCCACCCTGACTCGCATCTTCACATTATTCCCGGGTACCTAGTTTCTCCTGGGCATAAGAACTTTGTGGTCCCGCTCAGGCACCAGACCTGCTCTGGTCCTCTCTCTGTTCCAGTTCAAAACACCCAGACTCACCCTGGTCTTTTTCCCCACCCTTCACCCATGCTCTAGCCCTGCTCCCTGCCCTACAGGTCCTCCACCTCCCCTTAGTCCCTCCCAAACCTCCAGATGTTACCACAGGCTGTAATCTCCTTGGTATTATTTAGGAGCTGCAGCCATTCTGCCCAGATGATGTTGTCCCAGCAGTCTCCAGGGCCAGACTGCCTGCCTAGCCTTTGTCTAGGCCGTGAGTTTATATACTGCAAGCCCAACCTTCTTCTAGGTTGTGTGGCTCCTGTCTCCTGCCACCTGTTTCATATGCAGCCTCCCTGCTCTTACAGTAGCAGGAGCACCAGACCTTCTGCTACAAATACTACAATGGGTTTTTTAATGTAGATTATTAAAGATGATTCAAACTGCTGGCTTAGCCTTTTAAAAATTCAAATCCTCTTAGACACTGCAATAAAGAATTTTGTAGAAAGTCAGAGAAAGATAAAAACTTGGTACAGCATTAGACATTTAAAACAAATACATACGGAAAACAGGGACTTCCCAAACAGTTGAATAATTTAAATTTAGGACTCTTCAACCTTGAAAATGTTCCCTTAAACCAGACTGTTTATCTCAGAACACATTTATTTATTTACACGTCTAAAAAAAATAGAAAAATTCTAAACTCTGTCATGTTCTATTTGGATACCAGTACTTTATGTACAACATATAAGATGCCTCAATTTTGTAAATGTTACAAAGAATAACCTAGAACATTTGGTAGTGTTCTCTTTCTACTTACATCAGCATCTTCCAAAACCTTTATTCCTAAATTTCAAGAACTATATAAAGCAGGGCAAAGAAGTATGTCAACTAGAGGTGGAAGGTTGTCCATCTAGATATCAAGTTCAATAAATGTTAAAATTATTTACAGACTAAGCAGAATAAACACAGTTTAATTCAAATGTACAACTAAGTTCTAGTATAATTTTAACCACACAGTTAAAGGAGAAGACAACTTACAGTAATATAAGCTTCTGTCTTGAACTGTGCCTTTTCTTTTATGTCATTCAAAATTAAAAAGTTTGTGTAGATGGCTATCTTTTATTTATGATATGACCTAGGTCTGCCATATTAATTTATAATTGCTTAAAGGCATCACGCCTTCATAACAAAAAATAAAAAAGTCAAGTGTTCCAGACAGGATACATATTGCAATCTGTATTAAGACAGCAAGCTATGATAGGGCATCTCAGCCACAAAACCGAATCCCTCCCTCTATTTTTTCACTACACCAAGACAATACATCCCTATTGGGAATGAGAACTGAAATGCACTTTATTTTCTACATATTAGTACGGAAAAAGATCTAGGATTACAGTAAAGAAGGGTGACTACTGTTCTGCTTGCTTACATTTTGTAAAATGACTTCAAAGTTACTTTAGAAATATCTGAAGGCTTTTCTGACTAAATACACACGGAAAAAGAAAGATTTAGTTCTGAATTATGGAGGGCTGGTTGACACATGAGATACTGTCAAACAAGGTACCAATGTCTGAAGACTTAACTACTGGAAGAAAATTGAGAAACATTAAACTCTCCCAAATTGTGATGCTTCTGAAAATTTAGATAAAGCATTGTATAAGGTTTCTTGTATCCTTCTGTTCAATATCAGTTTCTGTCACAACCCAATTAACTTGTGCCCATGCCACTGAGCAAGAGATACCATTCAAATCATCTTCATTTGAATATTAAGGGTTAAAAGACTTCCCTGCCAAGAAATTCCTTGAAACAAAAGCTGGTGGTGTACTACAGATAATTGGACAGCTGAAATAAAATGCTAGGGGAAACTATATATAAATTGGTCCAAAAATAAGCGTAAGCTCCTCACACGTAGCACACACGTAACAGGTAGAGAAACCTAACCCACTACCTTGTAACTTGAGGCGACAAAGAGCTGCCACCTGCCAAAAAATTAAAGATTCCATATAACGGTTCACCATTGGATATTCCTGTAAAACACCTCTGCCTATAAATAGTTTAACGGTTTCCGCCCAAGGCAGAGAGCTCTGGGGATCTCACAGGAAACACCTGTGCTTGTCACCAGAGAATTGGGAAATTGATCAATTCCTAATCCATCACCCCGTCAGCGTAAAATATTGACGTAGAAAGTCTTGCAAGCGCGACCGTCCGTTCCCGGCGCCACGTCCGTCATTATCTCGTCGTAACCTAACTGCGTGCGTGTACTCGACTCTGTAACCGAAGTTATATGCATATATTCAACTCTGTAACCGAAGCTGTAACGGAACAAAGGCTCGCCTGCGTCGTCCATCACTATCTAGGTGACGTAAGTAAACAAACTCCTGTAACCTACACATGTCAGTGCCTAGTTGATTCCACTCCATCCATCACTACCCGCCTGCCGAGCTCTAAATCTAAACACTCCGGTGTGTGAGTCAGGCGGCTGCCGGCGGCTGCTCTGATTCACGACAGTTTCAAGCTCCCAGTTTCACTTCTATGTGCTTATGTAAACCTTTAAAAGTAAGAAGGGATTTTTGAAGAGAATTTGCAGAACTCAAAAAGGAATTAAAAACCAGAAAAGGAAATTGCAGAACAAACAACAAAAAAACAACATATGAAGGACTTTGAGAGCAAAAATAATGTTATAATGTAATAATGTTAATAGAACTGAACTGTCTGAAGAAATCAGTGACTGACTAGTTCTGATTAAATTATTGCACCGAAACACATTCCACAAACTGCTTATTATTTTCACTTTTAATTTCAAGAGCCATAGTTTATATCATGAAATGAAACACAGAAAACTTTCCACTGAATAAAACACTTGACACACACATACCTTAACAACAGGATTGAGGAGAACTACCCCTGATTTCTTTGTAATGACTTGTTTTGTTGTGTAATGATGGTCTATAAGTTGAGGAATAGTGGGAAATCCAGTTCCTTCAAATCTATACTGATTCTGTAAGGGGAAAAAAAATTCAGTCTGAGAAAAGAGAAAGTTTCACAGAAAAAAACATAAAACAAAGAATTAGCAATCATCACCCTTTAGTAACTAGAGAAAAAACAGTTTAATCTCACAGGAAAAAATCCTGGTCTCACTCAAATCAGTATTAAAGTGTCTACTGACGTCAATGGAACCCTAATCTGAAGCATAATAATCTATAAAAACATTTTATATAATTGGCATAATTAAATAATCATAGACATTAACTCTTTAAAGAAAGCTAAACTCTGATGGGATAAGACATGAATCTGAGTATATGACACTTTGAATATGATAAAAAGGATATGCAACAAATATACTACTTATTTAAAAAAATGGACAGTATTTATTTTCAGATAACATTTTATCATAAAACTACATAAAATAGACTTGAACTAGGGAAAAAAGTCCTCTGCAGATTCCTAAAATGGGTAAATAAAACTTTTCTCACTTGGAAAGAAAGATCAAAACTGATCAGATGAAATCATAGTTCACTATGTAATACAATCTTTACGTAAGTCGTTGACACCCAGAGAATAAAATCTATATAGAGTCTTTAATAAAAGTGAAATCAACATAGTCCCCAAGAGCATCTAGGGCAGGAGCGAGCAAAATATGGCCCACAAGCTGTATCCAGCCCACCAGCCTGAGGAGGGAGGTCCGTGGCCTGCTCCACTCTGCTCTGCTGCAGCCACGGCCGGACAGGGCCACGCAGCGCGCAGACTCCTCCAACCCACTGCATCCATCCCCTACCCCTTCATGGGCTTCCTGTTGGCACTGTGGCCACCAGCAGCCAGACCCACGAAGGACAGGGCCTGTGGAGGCAGGACCTGGCCCGGCATGACATGCAGTCCCTGCGAGTGGCACCAGGCCCCGGGTGATAGGCCAAGCGGCCCAGGGCTGCCTGAAGGCATACAACCCCGGGCCGAGCTGGGCTGGACCCATGACGAGCAGCACAGGTGGTGCCGGGTCTGAGGCAACTGGAGCCACGCCACACTGCAGGGGGCTCTGGCAGCAGCGGGCCCTGAGAGTCCAATGGCTGCTGCTGCTGCTGGCGAGGGGGGTGGGGGTAGTCTGTGAGCAAAGGGGATAGGGGCAGCTCTGATTTTTCTATGACAAAAAACCCCAAAAGCAAATGCCAAAGTGTACAGATATTTAGAATTTGGTTTATTATGATGATGGAGGCACTGGTAGGCTTCCAAATTGCTTTAAACTTGTAAATACATCAATAAAACATTTCCCAACTGATCCCTCTCTATTTAGTAATGTTTCATTTTAATAGCAGAAGAACACTATTTGGGGTATTTTAATGAGAGAATTTGGGTTTCTTATCGGAGAATTTGCAATTTTTAAACAGGGAACACCAGGATCTCTGCTTGCAAGACAACTGACAAGACTTGGGTAGAGGAGACTGTCCAGAGCCAGCACTAGTGACCCAGCTGGAGGGCAGACAAGGTAGCTGACCTCTTGCCATCTGGGGCCAAGAGGATATGCTCTGACAGTTCAAAGCAGGCAACCTCAAGGAGCACATCTTCTGGGTGACAGCTACCCAGACAGCAGAGCGGGGGCACCCCATCCTGGTCTGGCAGGCATGCAGCCATGGGGCCGCAGGTCCGATGGGGCGGTGCTGTTGCAGGTGGCAGCAGGTCACAGCCAGGCAGCAGCTCCCAGAGTGCTGCAGTGGGTAGAGAGTGCAGGGGCCACTCCAGGTTAGGGCAGCTTCAGCAGTCCAGCTAGTACAATAGTGTCCCCACATACCAACTGGCTGGGCCTCAGAAGCTCCCCGAGCTGCTCGCCAGGGCAGCTCTTTATACTGCTGGGGCTACCACCTGTGCTGGCCGCAGGCTCTAGCTCCTCCTGGCTGCAAATAAGGGAGAAGCTGGGAAGGGTCATTTTGCCCCAAGTGGTACAACTTGCCCCACACCAGAGTGCACATCCAGGCGCACGTGCTGAGGCAAAAACCTCTGGCACAAATTTGTACTGCTCGTATTTGAGCTGCTGCGAGCATACGTGCCTGTATGTGTGGACGTGTCCAGTCTGGCCTTTGAATTCTGTCTCAGAGGCCTAAGGAGGTGGAAGGTCTGGACAGCCTCCACTCCTCCAAAGACTCATGTCTAGGCATATGTATCGAAGGTCTGGGTGACCTTTTACACATACGCCATGATCTGGTAGGATCAATGTTTGCCAAAATACATGTTAAGAAAAATACTGCTATTGCTAGAGCACCTTTCGTGTCATCACACTGAATCATAAAGTGTTTTAGGATCCATACTTGCTATCACAGACTGTCATGAAAAGTTGTGTGTACAGGTGCTGAGAAAAAAATGCAAGTGACATATGGTGGAAGTGATAAGAGATTCAGAAAAATTCTTTCAGGGGAAAAAATTGTGCTGCTCAATTCAGATCCTGAAAGTGATCAATTATGTCAGGGGTTTCAATGACAGAGAGAGAACAAGTTACTAAGCCCCTGTAGTAAGAACCCATTTCACCTATTTTATTGTTAAATCTAACACTTTGTGAAGTGTGCTATATTAGAGCTTTAATGGAATAACAGAAGTATAAACAGTATTAGTGAGGTTTAGGATTATCATTACCAGTCATGACTTCTTGACTATGCTGCCCTTCTCTTTGTTTACCTCCACTGGCTTCCCTTTCTCTATTGCATCAACTATAAGCTGCTTGTCTTCACTTTTAAGGACCTTTTCATGGTCATCTCCCTCCCCAACTGCCCCTCACACACAGTTAACAACTCTGAGTCACTACTGAGAAGCCCAGCATTGCTTCCAATTGGCTAATACCAGTAGCAACCAATTTTACGCGAGCATCTTTGTGCTTTCCCCCATGCTGCCTGTCATACTTAGGAAGAGCTCAAAATTAATATCAATTGAGCTACCTTATTATTTTCTTTCAAAGCCTTCCTTTGTTCTAATGCCTATAAAACCAAAATTAGGCTACTAGTAACTCCCAAACATATTGACTAATACTGTCTCGCTGTTTCTTGCACCTTTGCCTCCCATCAGTCTCTAACCATGTGTAACTCATTGGGGCAGGGACTATATTTTTGAATAGTGGTCTGCACAATGGGTTCCTGGTCCATGATTAAGGCCACTAGGCATATAGTATCATAAATAAGAATTTGAAAATAAAGTAGCATTGAATGAAAGCAATGAACTCATATTATTAAACATGGTAATTCTTATACACACTCAATTAAACTTATTTAACAGTAAAGAAGGAATTATTTATTAAGATTTAACAGAAAAAAAGCTTGGATTTCCTTTTTGCTTATCCTATGAACAAGCAAAAAAATCCTATAAAATCTATTACAACAGGGTGTCACATATAGGTTTAATTCATTTCTTATAAATAATTAATAAATTAGTACTCCCAGCACCTTCCAGAATCAGGAAACTTCATTATTCATTATTTTTATATGCTTCTAGGAGCTTTTTCATGGACTGATATCCCTGTAAAAGCACAATGAAAAAGGTCACTACCCCAAAGGCTAAGTACAAACAGTAAAAAAGCTCCAGGCTGAATCGATTCAATCTTTGCAGGTTGAATCTACGCTGCACTGACTGAACCGATAAGCAAGTGAACAGACATTCACTTTTGATTCCAAAAAATGCAGCCACATGTCTGCAGTGGCCCGGGCCAGAAGCCAGAGGAGGATGATAGAGAACACCTCCCTGCTCAGTTGAAGCAGGCAGCTTGGGCCAAGGCTAGCCTACCCACCCTGCAGAGGGAGGAGTGGGAAAGTTTGCAGGAGAGATGCAAAGCATCCTGGGATCCTGGGAGACTGAGTTAACTTGAGCCTGGAGGGAATCTAGGACAGAAATTCAATAAACTGATTTAAATCAGTTAAGTCTTGATACTACATCTATCCAGGTTTATCCTAAACTGGTTTCAGCCATTTTGAAAGCAGCTTGTGTACACTAAACTTCAGTTGTGTTATAAGTTTGAACCAGTTTCTGATGAATTATACTGGCTACTGTTTATGTGTAATTTCTGTTCCTAGACACAGCTGTTATAACTTTTGTTAGTTTCTTTAGTGGAATAAGAGTGATAACTTTCAGACACCCAAGCTAAAAACTGAGCCATAAGATAATACCATGAAAGAAAGGGGTTCCTTTTCAAAAGAGGTGATGCCACACAAATAAACTGATCTCAAACATGGTACACATTCACTCAACTGAGAAGACTACATTGATTTTCTAGTGAGATGTACTCTCTTTATTCCATACTTTTTAAATATATACATATATTTTTGGAATATTTCCTTAGAGGCCTTAGAAAAAAAAATCAATTTATTAAAAATAACCTGAACTTTTAGGAAATGTGTAAGTTAAAAATAAATAATTTGCAATTCTGATATGGATTTCCTGGCAAACTGTTTTAAAATGTTGGTCATATTAGAAAGTTAGAAAGAACAGTTAAAGCAGTATTAACTGGATCACTGGGAACAGTCATATACTATACTTTTGCATGTTATACTGCTACTCTTGAGTCTTAGATTCAGAGACAAATTCAGAATAGTGGAGACCAGGCTTGCTACTGATGCAGGGCTATAGTGGAATTGGTTACAATGTAGAATGCACTTTTATTCATGTGCACTCCCAGTTGAGGGAGCATGTAGATCAAAACTGACAACTGTCCCTAAAAAAGATGCACATTATCCCTTTTCAATGCAGGGGAGACACTACACAAAAATGACTATTCTACCTGAGAATGGAAGGTGAAATTGGAGTTAAAATGTAAGAATAAACCAATCCACAAATAAAGGAGTAGGTAATAGCCTAGATCTCTGGGGACTGCACACACAAAACTGCAAGAGGCATGTAGTATATTGAATTGGTACCATGTTGAAAATGTCTTGCACTTATTCTTTGATCTATTATTTTATAGGCAAATTACAAGAGCAGCACAAAAACACTGTTATGCTCATTTGTAGGTCTGTTTTTCACAAAAAAGGATAAGAATTGACATAAAAGTATAACACACACTAAAACACAAATACATCTCTTCCCATTAGTCTTAAGCATTTGAGAAAACTTGCCAGAGACCAATACAAGAGTCCAAGGAAAAGCGATATTGTAAAAGTGGCAATGCCAAGATTTTGATCACAAATCAAAAGAAACAGTGTTTTTCTCATTTATGTCACCATCAGTAATTCCTTCCTCTATTCTGTAATATACTAAAACTTGCTTCTGTCATTTGGGTGTTATTCTGTGTTCAAGAATAGGTTGGTGGGGAGAGAATGAGACATTAAAGACAGTTCTACACCAGAAAGTTATCCTAGGAAAACTTCTTGGCAGCATGCTACTCCTGACATTGCTGTGTTGGTACAGCATATATGCACATGGCTACTTTTGTCACTGATATGGTGCTTTAACATAACAGACCCTGGGTAAAATCACAGTGTGCGTCAGGGTTAGGCATCTCAGTAGCCCTCATACCATCCTGTGTATACTGCTCTGTGGTGCACTCTGAAGTGCACCATGACATAAGGATCTCTGAACTCAGGGAATTATAAGAATTCAAGGTGAAGTGCCAGGCTTCCTACCGGGTGTATGTTCATACCTCTAAAACTAACATAAAAAGAGAACAGGATTCAGGTGGATTTCTGGATCTCAATTCACAACAGAATAGAGAAGACAGCACAAACTCTTGCTGTGTAAGCTTTCCCATTTTTGGTGGGAAGGAAGCACTAGAAACGGCCAGCAGTACAAAATCTCAAGAATGCTGTCAAACCTCTACTATAAGAGGGTGAAATATAAGAGAAAGGTACATGCACTAAACATTAAAATTATTAGCAACAACTGTGATAAATGCAATAAATTGCAAATTGTTTTGTCTTCTACTAGGGAAAACAATTCAAAGAACGTCAACCATAAACAGCTTTTTCTTAGAAATATCTGACCAACTTCTTTTCTTTTTTTTTAATTTGAACACCCAACTCTATACGGGATAACAAAAATTGCCAATCTTCCCAATTACTTCATATGAAGATAAGAAAACTGAAAATGTACTGTAGACTAAATCCTCCCACATAGTTATCCATGATAAAACTATTCTTATTGTGAATTACTTATCTGAAATAATTGCCTGTTTGATATTAAAAAAATTAATACTGCATCAGACGTACATCAGCATATTGTATGATAAAGTGTCTCCGTTGTCCATCTGAAAACACAGAAAGGACATATTCACCAGGTTTTCCATGGCTCTCTCGCACTAAGAAGTCTCCTTGCTGTTTTAATAACTCCTGGGCTTCTATTCTTGGAATTGCACCATGATACCAGTCTTGCTCTGCCAACGGCTTCTCGCTGGTTGATATTACATCGAAGAACTTGAAAAAATATTAAAGAAATAAGTTATCATAATGTAAGCTATTTTCCATTATTTATCTTTTTCATGAAAACATTACAGATACCGATAAATAAGTTCACATTGCTTTTTCTAAATTTGACACTGCTATTAATTACGGTCCAGGTGATATACAGATTTGTTCAGTAAAGGATTTATTAGTATGGTTAAAGAAAATTATACCATTCTCTCTGATGATCATATTGTCTTCCTAATTACTACTATTTCATTTTCAGAACCAGTTAAATACCTCCAAGATTAAAGATAAATTCCACAAGTTAATTTAATTCAAAATGGCTAACATGCAGTAGAAATGCAAAACTCTAGATTCAGAGATGATACCTTTTATTAGACCAAGAAATCACAACAAAAATATATATTAATAAATAAACTTCATTTTCTACCTACAGGAACTTTTTACCATCTTTAATTTTCCCTGAGCCTGAGGAAGGGTGGGTGTGATTTTTTTGTTGGTCTAATAAAAGGTATCATCTCTGAATCTAGAGTTCTAGAGGTTTGCATTTCTTTTTGTCTCAGACCAACATGACTACCAAATACATCCCTGTAACACAAAGTAAGCTTTTCAAATTACTAATAAAAAGAATGGGCTTTTTTAAACAGGTTAAAGAAGTTTAATGTTTGATATTAAACTTAATGATAGTCTAGCAGACTGAGCCCATAAACAGCCACTGCATTTTTTCCAGGTAATAAGTATACTTGCATTCAAGTAGTTTGTGGCAGAAGAAAGCTAGTGCTTAGACTGCAAACTGCTAGTTCCTTCTAAGAACAACTTTTCTGTTCCAGAAAATTTTCTAATACCACATGTAATGCCTCAACACTTACACCCAGGATCCCAAAGTGCCTGGCTCTTCCTCCCCACATCCAAGGTGAAGGGGCGGGTAGTGAGGAAGAGTGGTTGGCTCCCTGTTAGCTCCCCAAGTAGCAACCTGTTGGGGCACCTGGCACTGCTGCTCACTTCCTGATCCCAAATCAGGGGACCAGGCAAGGAGTGGCTTGGGAACTGCCCCTTCTCTGCTCCCACTGATCAGCTGATCTGCAAGACTAAGCAGGGGGATGGCTGAGTGAGGACCAAGGGACTGTTCTTTCCTGGTCCTGTTGATCTGCAGAAACAGGCAGGAAAGGTGATGACCCTGCCATGAGACCAGGAGAGCTCCAGAAATTCCTAGAAATTGCAGCTCTGGAACTGAATGCCTATCTCTAGCCTGAAATCTCACTACATGTTCACAGAACAGCTTTGCAATACTGTCAAGGCAACAAAATCTTTCCCTTATTATCTTGTTTCTACTCTGCAGAGCACCTCTGTAAAGGAAAAATGACAGCTTGGTTTCCAAATATATTAACTCTTGGTCTTTCTACTAAAACCAGTCAGCTGTGATGGTCTCTACACTGTGGATATTATCCACTATGAAACAATAAGACAGACTAAGATGCACAATTAATCTTACAGCTCACACACAAGTTAGCTAACAGACAACACTTGCTCACTTCAAAACTAAATGAAATCTGAACAACTGTCCATGACTGTATCATTATGTCTACGTTTAGACACTGCAAACACTGGTATTGAAAACATAATACCACAGTGAAGTTGGTCTTTTTCTGTTTGTTTGTTTGCTTAATATTTAGATCAGGGGTAGGCAGATCAGTCCAGCTTCACAGACCCCTGCACCCTGCTCTGGACCCCACCGGTGCTGGCTCTGGGACACTGGTCCCAAGACAGTGGCCAGGAGGCGGGGCGTCTGTCAAGGGGTGGGGCTACCCATGTGGCCCTTGATAGCTTGCCAAAACTGGGTAAGTGGCCCTCCGCCCAAAATAATTGCCAGCCCCTGATTTAGATGGAAAAACTCTAGTTAGCGCAGAAACTTATTGGATAGACTTTATTATTATTTCTTTAATGTCACAGTGTGCGTTACTGTACATTTCATAAAAAAATTATTTGATATATTTTGCGTGCTGACATTTTTAGTAACTCAGTCTTTATAAATTACCTCATTTACTCAAATATAAGACAACCCTAAATATAAGATGACCCCCCAATAATTAAATTCTATATATGGAAAATGTATACATTTATTATAATTTTCTAGGTACAGAATATAAGTACTAGAGGACTGTTTTGAATCTCCTTCTGCTCCACTGCTACAGCAGGGAAAGCAGTGGCTGAAGGGGATGAGTGGGGGAAAGAGGTAGGTGGCTACCTTGCTCTCTGCCCTGCCCACTTGGCCCCCCTGCCACCTGAACTCCCCCACCCCCTGCTCCCTGCAGCCTCTGCCCCTCTGTCTTGGTCTCTTCCCTCCCTGCTTCCCCAGTCTCTGCCCCTTCCTGGCCCCCCATATTGCCCCTTACTGTCAGACACTGTTGGGGATGCTCCGTCCAGAAGCACAGCACATGAAAGCCTGGCCCTTGCCTGGCCTTGCGGCAGTGTTGGCAGTGCTAACTGGCTGGACAGGCAATCTAGGAGTGTTGGCACTGCTGATTAGCCAGACAGGGGAAGCAGTTCCCATGTGCTCTGTGCCCAGGAGACCCCAGCCTGAACTCCAGCTGAGCTGTGCTTGATAGTAAGTGGAGAGGAACATGATGGGTGGGAGGCAGAAGCTGCAGAGGGAAAGTGGAAGTGGGGTTCAGGAGGCTGTTGTGAGTCTAACTCTTAACCTCACCCAGGCTCAGGGCCGGAGTCAGAGCCACAGCAGCTACCTATTCCCCCCTCTCCTTCATATGCAGATACAAGAAGAAGGACATTTTTCCCCATGCTGTTTGGGGACGGGGGAGCTCATCTTATATTTTAATACATATGGTATTTAAATTGTACTGTTTTCTCCTGAACCACGTTTTTCATTCTTTTAACAGGCTTACTGTACATGTTTATTATGCAGAATACTAATTTAAATATTTTAAAGAACTATTAGATAAATCAGTATGTTCTTCAAAACAGCTATTTAGGGGATCATGGTTACAGCAAAGAAAGTTTGTTGCTTAAGAAGGATTTATAATCTTTTTAACATGGATTTCAAAATATTTCTCACTTTAATTAGAAAAAACAGTAATAGTTACTCCTTTTCATAGCTGGAATTAATTCTGGCAGGATTTAATGGAAGCAGTTTTAACACAAAATTGTTTTTTTAATGAATTTTACAATTCTCATGAGTTTTTCTTAAACACTGTTCCATGTAAATATGTTTAAGAAATATTCAGCTGCTTAATAAAACAAATTAGATACTATAAAAAGCAAACAATTTTTTCTATTTCTTTTTAATTCAATGTATGCACCTGTTTTGAATTTCCCCTTTCTACCCTTCAAAGATTTCTGTGGTTTCGCATACCTTATCCTAGGATTTTTGGGGGGTGAGCCTCAATTCCCTCATTCTGCACTGGTTTTTACTAAGGTCACCACCTGTCCCTAATTGGGCAGGACAGTTCTGAAATGTGAACATCAAGTCCTAGTCCCAGGCTGAATGACTCCAGGACAGAATTTCTCAGATTCCAAGTATCATGTGTAGGGATCCGGGTTTTCTGTTTACCATGGAAAAACACAGGAAACAGGAGGGTTTTCCCTTGCAGGTTGGCAGAGTTCCAGCCTGCAAGAGGCTGTTTGGGGCTTGGGGGAACGGGATGCAGAGGGCATGCACACAAATACACAGGGCCAGGAATATAGCCCCAGGCAGCAATGGAGAACAGCTCCCTGCAGGCAATTCTAAGGGGGAGGGGGAGGGGGCAGCAGAGGGGCTGGCTCCCTATCACTATGTGCATTCCCAGAGAGGGGGGCATGAGGGGCACAGGCTGCCAGCCAAGCAGAGGGCATCTTGCTATGGTGGCCAAATCGGTGTGAGGCTCCTGGAGGTAGGACAGTAGGGTGGGGAGCCCCAAGTCCATAGCGGATAGCCCATATCCTCCCCCACAGGCTCTGCTTAGCTCTGCTCTGGCAGTGCTATAGGGAAGAAGGAGGGGGGGAAGGGGGCAAGAAGGAAGGCAGGCATGTGTCCTGCCTTTCCATTTTGAAAAGGTGGTCACTCTTAAGTCTTCCTTTTGTGCTGCCTCCTTCCCCACCCATTAAGCTTTTCCCTCTCTTTCATTTTTTTACAGGTCTTAACAGAGAATTGAAAGAGCACCTTTATTCAGAAAGCAGTAATTGAATGGGCTCTCAAACAGAAGCCCTCATCAACTTGAAAAAGGTGCATAAGGGATGGCCCAAAAGTTTCTGACTATTTTTTGGAAGACAGAGATCCTCTACCCAAGTACCCTAAAGCAATGAGCTGTCTCTAAAAACACACTGAAAGTTGTGGAGTTTAATATTAACAACAGTTAAAGATGTTCATAAATAAGGGTGCTATAATAAACAGTGCCTCCACCTCCCACTTCACTACCCTGTCCCCATCATTAACCTCTCCTCCTTCCAGCCTCATGCTGCCACCCCACCAATCTGGCTCTCCAAACCCATTCCCAACTAGAGCAGGAATAGAAGCCTGTCCTGGTTCACCAGATCTCTAATGGCAACTCACAGCTGTGCAGGTTGGGGACAGTCAGAGAAGGTTTTTAGCCTGAATGTATAATTACTCTGAACTTGAGCTAACACTAACACTGATCAACACTTGAGAAGCTTAAATAATGTGCGAAAAAGCCCTTGAGACTCATCTAAGCCTAATTCTTTAGTTCTTATGTGTGTCAGCATACAATATGCAATCAAGAGCAAGTTCAGCATGAGGGAAGCATAACCACAAAGACTGTAGGGGGTGTATATTTAAAAACAATAAAGCAAAAGACCACAAAACCTCAGTCAAGAGTCATCACAAAAAATATTATTCTATTAACCTAAAAGCTGAATTTGGTAAGGATAACCATGGAAGGTTATTGCCAAATTTCTTTAATGGAAGGAACACAAGGAACCACTGAATACAGTGACTGTCATCAAAAGTCTGAGAGACATGTGACAACTGTCTTAGAGGAAAAAAGGAATAGGTTGCATTTGAGGGCAGCAAGGACAATTTCAAGGTTCAGTTCATTCACATACTGATCAACACAGGAAGCATCCTACCATCAACAAAAATATAAATTGAAACTATAAGTAAAAGCATCTCCCAATTTGAGGGTGGGATTTGAGTACCTTTATCTCAGGTGATTAGCTTTTTTACTATTAATCTTCCATTTACAGATGCCTGACTTGGATTTTTGTCTGAAAAAAAGATGCTGATAATGGTGGCATATATTTCCTTTATCTACTGTTGAATCACTAACCTCTTTGGTTTTCCATTTTCTCCTACTCCTCCTATCTAGTCACCTTTCACCCTCTCTCCACTCTCCCCGCCCTGCCATCTTTTCCGTCTCATAACTAATCTTCCCTCAACCCTTTATTCTCCATTTTACAAAGGCTCCTAGAGCTTTATATCAGACATTGCCAAATTGAACTGCAAACCACTAATCACACAGCCTTGACTTGTCCTTCCAGCTGCTAAATTCCCTTATAACCAGGGATCTGGGTTTTCTGCTTCCTGCAGAAAAATGCAGATTCTTCCCTTTAAAGGAGAAAAACCTAGATTTTCCCCTCTGAAGTGGGAAACCATGGGTTTCCCCTTGCAGGCCTGCAGAGTTCCAGCCTGCAAGGAGTTGCTTGGGGCTGAGGGGAGAGCAATTGGAGGCAGGGAGTGTCACATGCATATGCATGCACATAAACACACACACCCCCAAGTAATATAGCCAGGCAGGATGTGGGAACATCCCCAGCAGCTGAATACAAGTAAGTCTACAGGACAGGGGAAGGAGGGGAGGGGGAAAGCTGAAGGGTCAGGGCATGCATGTGTGGCAGGGGTGTGTGAAAGGGATGTGAGATGTGTGTGGGGGAGGGTGATGGTGTGTGGGGGGGCGTCATGGAGGTCTGTACATACATGCTCGTGATGCAGCATGGGCACCTACTGGCACTGGGGGAAGGTGTCCAGGCACTCAGGCTGTGGTGGGGTAGGGGGTCTGAGGCATGGCTTGGTGCCACCGGCAAGCCTAGCTTGATAGTGTTGCCAGTAGGGCTTGGCCAGAGGAGCCTGCCCTTCCAGGAGGGAAGGGGGCAACAGGATCCTTTGCAGGAGGCAGGGAGATGCATGGTTGGGCTGGTGGTATTAGGGGCCAGTGCCTGTGCTCTCAGGGGTGGGACGGGAGGTATGGCCAGGCCACCTGGTGCAGCGTGGGCTGCCCAGGGTGTGGCGATGCCACAAGCATCCCCTCCTCCTCCCTCTAGCCCATACCGGAGCCAGACTCACTCCATCACTGCCTGCATGAGCCAGAGCCATTGCAGCCACTGCTGCCTCTACTGGGCTGGAAGGGGTGCCTCGCCTTGGCAACCATGACAGCAAAGCTGGTACAGGGCTCCTGGCAGCAGCAGCACTGGTTATCTACACTCCACTCTGCCCTCCCATACCGTGTCCAGCCTGCTGGGCCACAGAGGAGGCTCCTGCCCAATGCCGGTCCAGTCAGACAGCAGCCCCATGTTCTAAACCCCACTATCAGCATAGAAATCTGGGGGGGCGGGGGGGGCACATACCACCCCACATCTCCCCACTGCCAATGGCTTTGCTTATGCCCACACACCCCCTGCCCCATACACACCCCTCCCCTCTTCCCCACAAACCAGGGGTCTGGGACCTGGGGATGGAGAACAGCTGGGGGGCCTTCCAGCAGGTCTGGGGTGGGCAGAGGGAAATGTGGCTTGGGAGTGAGGACAACAGCATGGACAGAGCACCAGCATATCAGGGCTGCTTAGCAAGACAAAGCAGCTGGGGAGACAACCACAGTTGGACCCACATCCTGGTGAGCGAAAGGGGCAGGAGGAGCTCTGATTTTCCATGATGAAAAATACCAAAATCAAATGCCAAAGCTTAAACGTATTTATAATTTATTTTAATAAAATGATTGAGGCACTGGTAGATTTCCATATTGCTTTAAAATTGTAACTATATCAATAAAACTTTGTGTTCAGCTGATACATTTTTATTTATACACACACACACATTTTATTTATATACACATACATAGATACACGTGTGTGTAGTACGCATGTGTCTGTGTATATAAATACACCCCATCCATGTTTTTCCATGATTAAAATAAAAGCGTGTGTGTGTGTGTGTACACACACATATGCACTAGGCCCATGCAAAGAGGCCAGTATTCGCTTCGGATTCAGAATTGGCTGATTCAGGGGACAGTGATTCGATTTGGTGATTTAAATCACTGTCCTGAATCAGCTGAATCTCCAAATCATGCAGGCCCATCCCCCACCCACTCTCCCAGCCCCAGCAGTGGCTGCCCCGCCCCCCCCCGCC